ATCGAAGTCGGTTGTCGCAAACGTCATTATTGAATTTGCCGGAAAATGAGCTTTCTGCGCATGCGTATTACTGCCACGTGGAAATATGGCCGCTTTGCCAGCAAATTCATCTCTAGGATTACTTTCAAATTACAGGACAATTAATTATATAAAGTCATAGAGAGAACGGGGCCGTCGTTTTGGATTGTTATGCCATTGATATTGGGCATGGAGATATCCACTTTTTAACAATTATGCGAGAGGATTATGCCAGAGGATGTCATCCATAAAAATAAAAAAAGTGTGGCCTTATAAAAGATTTTGGTTTGTTTAGATTCTTGAACATCTTGGTCGTGGCTTGGTATATATTGCATGGGTATTGCTCCAATATTTCTTGAAAAAATAACCCGTTTTGTTCAGAATACCAATTTTTTACTTTAGTGTTATGGGTAAATGTACCATTTTTGCCTGTACCATTTTCGTGTTTAAAACTAAAAAAACTTAACATGACAGTTGGTCATCATTTTTCTTCTCACCATGGTGGGTGGCTTTGGAGTGGTAACTTTGTTGTTAAAGTAAGGTACTAGGTTATTATGACTGGAAAAGGTTTGCCTCCACCCAGCATTTTCCATCATGGCGGTCTAAGGAAGTTTGACTTCACAGTGTCTTTGGTATAGTTATTTTAAACATATTTAGTCTTCTTTTTACATATATATGTTTTAATTCATATTAAACCTTTGAAAAAAGAACACATATGAATCCTGGTGCTTCTTAATTTAAAGTCTTAAGGTTTTAAGTTCACCTAGGCTCCACCAATTACTTTACCTGTTATCTCACTACACATCTCCCTTTGAGTCAAGGTGTGTAAGACACACCTTATTGTGTAAGACACCTCTATAATTAAGGGATACTTGCTTCTCTTCTGTAATTATACTTCACTACATGTGTACTTTGGCATGTTAGGTGGCAAGCTAGGCTGTTTCGGTTCATTATATGAAAGAAGCTTTGCCTTGGTGGTTACGAAAGAATAGAACTCTATTAAGGTTTATTCATTACTTGAAAGTAAATATTTCAACTTGCAGTGTTGAAACAGAAATTCTCTCAAAATTGATAATGAATTTGACATGCATGTCTTAACAATACTCAAGTTTTTTTCTTCTATTATAGATATGGGAGAAGGCTGCATTGAATATATGAATTATGGTCAGGCTGGAAAAAATTAAAAATGTCAATGAAAAAAGGAGGTCAGTGTGTCTGGGGTAAGTTACATGTACTTTTGTCGTAATGCCTACGATGCATTAAACATTCACTAACAACAGTACCCTTTTAAATTTTTTTCAAAATACAACAACCTTGAGCATTTTCCTTTTAGCAACCAGCCTCTCTGAAATCCCCTTTTTGTCCTGTCAGAAGAGAAGGAACCAGGGGAGGATTTAAATAATTTCTTGTAATAATTTCTTACAATTTCTTTCAATTTCTTGGGGTTATTAGCCTGTGATCATGAATCTTGATGTTCTATATAAATTTAGTTGTAAATTGTTCATTTATGTGGTGAACATTATTTCAGTCAAGTCATAACAAGACACATTAAACTTCACTGCGTAATTCCATAATGTCTACATGGACACTAGTAGTTCATAATGCTATTATTATGTTTTTTTTCTAACCTACAGGTTTCTCTCTTTTCTGAGTGGCATGGCATTGGCAAGGCAGAAGAAAAGGCCCTGAAGAAATTCTCATTTGAGTTGTCCTTTTTGGAAAGAAACTGGATAAGACTGGCCAACAGAGATTGCATTAAATTAATAGTGCTCCTTCATGACATTTTAAAATATTTTCAGCCACCTAACTGACTCTATTCATTTCAAAAGTGGACTAAATTTTATGTTACTGTCACGTGGAAAAAATTCAAAACCTATATATAATTTGTTGAGTGCCATGGTATAACAGTCTACCTGTTTGCCAGTAAAATTTGGACTGTTTCAGTGAAATTTCTTTAAAGCAGTCACTTACTGGCCCAGTTAATTTTTTCAGCTGTAACATGTATTCCAGTTCATTTTATAAATGTTCTGACTAAGTGTTGTCTTGATCTATAATAACCTTTTGAAATTCCCATGTTTTTGATCCTTTTTGTAAGAATTAGCCACTTTATCTTCTAGGTTTTTTTTCATTCGGCCCATTAGATTCTCATACCTTGCTGGCCTGTGAGTGGTACTTCTTATATGTAAAATTTTGTTTTTGGTTTTGTTCTTCTAATGATATAATAAAATGGTTTTACTCACAGATGCTACTATCATGTTGCTTGAGTATAGAGTCGACTTGAAAGATATTTTAAGTTTATATAGTAAATAATAGTTTGAAATTCTATATTCTCATCTTTATTCGTTTCACTTTAAAGAGCTCAGTTAATACTAAAATTTCTGATATATTTGTACATAAATATATTTATGAATGAATAAAAATTATTCTTATTGTTTAGCACCGTGCACTTGTTTACCGACAAATATGAACAGTGTTAGTATGTGTCAAAATAAAGTGAAAAAGTGAAAAAAAAGGGAGATTTCCAAAATAAAGAAATTTATAACGAGTATTCAGTAAACTGACATGTCGTGGCATTGCCTCAACCTTTGATTAAAATTTTACTTTAGTGCATTATAATATTAAAATTATACCGAGTGAAAGAAAAAATACTTCAAGAAATTTAAAACCAGTCACAATTTAAAGCTTAGGCACTGTCACAATGTAGGCCCTATATGTTTATGGGACCTAAGGGCAGGAGGGTCCAAACGTTTATGTATTAATATTATGTCCTTTAGCAGTGAGGACAGACGTTCACTTGAATGTCATTTTCACAAACGACAGTTGGGACGTTTTCTTTTGACTTCTCCTTGGTGATTTTTCACTGGGTTGTGCAAAAAAAAAAAAAAAACGTCTATCACCGACTCAAAAAAACTTATAGCGACCATCCTCAGTCACCACCTTGTAATCGCTTTCTATGATATCGTTCCCTTCCAGCACATCGTCCAAATAATTACCTGTGAAAAAAATCGTCAGCATATTGACACTACTGATCTCGAATTCTAACGCGAAATAACGCATATGAAATTAATCTCCAAGCTGAGGAGAGCGACGCAGACGAAACCTTGAGACAGGAGGCCCCCTCGTAGCTAGCCACGCCCACCGTAACAGACATCGGACAATAGAGAGGCTTGCGTGTAATCTCCTTCTGTTATAACTCCTTGGTATAACAGTCTACCTGATTGCCAGTTAAGTTTGGACTGTTTCAGTGAAATTTCCTTAAAGCAGTCACTTACTGGCCCAGTTAATTTTTTCAGCTGTGACATGTATTCCAGTTCATTTCATAAATGTTCTGACTAAGTGTTGTCTTGATCTATAATAACCTTTTGAAAATCCCATGTTTTTGATCCTTTTTGTAAGAATTAGCCACTTTATCTTCTAGGATTTTTTTCATTCGGCCCATTAGATTCTCAGCTTGCTGGCCTGTGAGTGGAATAGTATCTGGCACAGACTGGTATCAGCAAGTCAGATAAAAAATAATATAATTATTTCTATTTGCACGGTTGAAAAAAATGCCAACATAGACTGCATAAAACTGGAAAACTGTAGCAACTTAATCATTCTTATGACTTCATTAATTACTGCTTATGTGTAAAATTTTGTTTTTGGTTTTGTTCTTCTATTGATATACATGTAATAAAATGGTTTTACTCTCAGATGCTTCTATCATGATGCTTGAGTATAGAGTCGACTTGAAAGATATTTTAAGTTTATATAGTAAATAATAGTTTGAAATTCTATATTCTCATCTTTATTCGTTTCACTTTAAAGAGCTCAGTTAATACTAACATTTCTGATATATTTTGTACATAAATATATTTATGAATGAATAAAAATTATTCTTATTGTTTAGCACCGTGCACTTGTTTACCGACAAATATGAACAGTGTTAGTATGTGTCAAAATAATCCTGAAAAAAGGGAGATTTCCAAAATAAAGAAATTTATAACGAGTATTAAGTAAACTGACATGTCGTGGCATTGCCTCAACCTTTGATTAAAATTTTACTTTACTGCATTATAATATTAAAATTATTAAAATTATACCGAGTGAGAGAAAAAAATACTTTAAGAAATTAAAAACCAGTCACAAAGCTTAGGCACTGTCACAATGTATATGTTTATGGGACCTAAGGGCAGGAGGGTCCAAACGTTTATGTATTAATATTATGTCTTTTGGCAGTGAGGACAGACGTTCACTTGAATGTCATTTTCACAAACCACAGTTGGGACGTTTTCTTTTGACTTCTCCTTGGTGATTTTTCACTGGGTTGTGACAAAAAAAAAAAAAAAAAAAAAAAAAAAAACGTCTATCACCGACTCAAAAAAACTTATGGCGACCATCCTCAGTCACCACCTTGTAATCGCTTTCTATGATATCGTTCCCTTCCAGCACATCGTCCAAATAATTACCTGTGAAAAAAAATCGTCAGCATATTGACACTACTGATCTCGAATTCTAACGCGAAATAACGCATATGAAATTAATCTCCAAGCTGAGGAGAACGACGCAGACGAAACCTTGAGACAGGAGGCCCCCGGTAGCTAGCTCCGCCCACCGTAACAGACATCGGACAATAGAGAGACTTGCGTGTAATCTCCTTCTGTTATAACTCCTTCCTTAAACGACACTAGACAAAGACGGATCGCCGAACAGAAATTTATATTAAGAACACTAAACACCCTGAATAATGGACTCAATAGGGATAATGGTTTTTTTAATGAGTATTGATTTTGTTCTTTGTTACGTAATTTTTTTTTCTTTGTTACGTAATTTTGACGTTGTTTACGTATAGCACGCTTTTGGAACATCGCATGTCTTCAACACATCACCGACGTCACGTATCCTAGGATTTTGTTTTTTTACTTTTTTTACTTTTTGTTCATATGTTCGAAGAAGGCGCAGGGGCCGAAAGCTCGGACTGTATTTAACAACTATGGCTCTGTTCTCACAACTTTTAGATCGATCTATCACCGCGGGGAGTCTCACTAGATTACTGTCAGATAATCCGCCTTAAGTGTCCGTCCCCGCCTACTACAAGCTATAAGGGGTAATTAACTTTCGTGTCCGCCCGGCTGACAGCTATTTAGCGTGAACCCCCAGGGAGTTAGGTCGATCCAATGTAGGTCGATCTAATCTATGAGAATGGGGTGTAAAATGTAGATCTTTCTAGATGCATCAAAATATTTGTACTTATAATTCATTGCTGTAACGCTTTCTTTAAAAATGATTAAACCAGTGTGATTTCTCTCTATAGATTGGAAACAAACTGTAGATCATAATATACTAAGTTTGATGTTCTACTTACGACATCCCGCTGCCTCTGAAGAAAAAAAAAGCAAAAATGTACTCGCAAAATATATAGCCACAATATATCATAAATGACAAGAACGGTTATGTACATTAAGCGTCTTATAAGCCCGAAGGGCTGGGTGATTTTCTTAGTAATGTAACACATGGTTCTTTAGTGAATGAATAAATGAATTTTACACAACAGCATGCCAGATGAACATGGAAATGGGATTTTTATCATCAGAGCTGCAGTGAAAAATATGAAAATTATCGATTAGGTGATTAAAAGAATGAAACCCTTGGGTGAGAACCAGAACAGTGGAAAACATTTCATTGTGAATTACCAAAGGAAAAAAGAGAAATCAGCGAAAACTAAACTTTCACAAAGGAATACACAGACCTGAACTTTTAAGGATAAATGCAGACAAGTAAGTTTCTGTGTTTAGATTAAAGTGTTTAAAACACCTTTTTTTGTTCTAAACCGTACCAAAGGGCTACCCTTACCAGGGCGAGTGATATATATTTTTTTACAGATATTCACAGATATGTCTCTAGCTAGATAGATAGTCATTTACAGCTGAACTCATCCCGTTGAGGAATCTCAAGGCTGATTACATAGCTGATAATCGTTTGCATAACTGCTCAGGCACTGCCACTTATACCCCCTTTACACTGGACGGCGTCCTTTCTGCGTCCTCTCTGCGACCATGAAATTTGACATCGCTGTGGTCTTAATAAGGAGGCACGAGCATTAATTTTGTATCAGAATGAATGCTCAATGATCGGCCAGTTGCCGGCACGTAAAATATTATAATTTTTTTACTCTCAAATGGGGCCGTACTGCTGGACGCAGAAAGGACGCCGTCCAGTGTAAAGGGGGCTTTAGCAGGTCCAGTCTAAGTCTGCGTGACAGCAATCAAGACAGTTAATTACTCTGACTTCAATCACTTGCTCTTCTGTGACAGATAAAAAAGCCTTAGACTGGTTGCGTAACGAGCAGTTATCACATGGTTGTGAAGCTCAGTTCATGCAGAGCAAGTACAAAGCCTTTGGCACGCGCGCAGAGATAATTGTTTTCACATGGGATTCCTCAACAAAATGACTATCTATCTAGCTAGAGACATATCTGTAAAAAAATCTATCACTCGCTCTGGTAGAGCGTACCAAAGGGCACTGTTTGCTCTCCAAATTACCAAAAAATTTACGGGGCCCTTGAGCAGGCCCCAAACCCCACACCAAGGGGGCGATGGTCGGCTTCGCATCCGAGGCCTGTCGTTCCGGACCCCCCATCAAATAATCCTGGATCGCCCCTGTACTTAATATTAAATCTATGAGTACCTTGTAGCAATGTATAAAGATTCAAACATCGTACCACGTGGATCGATCCAACTCCGCTTAATGGTTGATAGTGTAATCAGTTTAATTGTGTGACACGACTCCTTGATGCTAGAGGATAATTCACTTTCGTGTGCGCGCGGCTTATTAGCCCCAAGCAGCTACATGTAGAGTTGTGTCTGGCATTCAAGCCAATAAGAGTGATTGCACTTACGTGATAGGGGTGGTCGGCTTATGCCCTAGTATTAGATTCCACTTTACCAAAATTATACTATTCAGAGCTGGGCCTCCGAGGACGTGTGTTTTGACAGCGCCCCTTGGTGAGTTGAGAGCGGCTTTTAGAGTGTGATAGGCTTCTCGCCTTTATTATGAGGAAAGATCGTCTCTGATAGGTAGGTAGGTAGGTGTGTCGTCTACCTAGTATGAGATTTATAGATACCGATATCTAAGATCTAATAATATTTATTAGATCTTAGCCGATATATATAGGATGCCCTGAAAAGGGCATTCCGTGATTGATACGATAGAGGCGTGACGCCTGTTGAGGGAAGGGGGAGGGTGGACTGGTTGCAGAAATCGCTTTTCTGTCAACAAGTGACTTTCATCAGCTGCAGAGTCCGAGATAAAAAAAAGAAAAATTTAGGGACGGAGGGGGTCGGTAAGCAAAGGTGTCTCCGTTCAGTCTAAGATGCTTTATCCTGTTGAGGAGTTCTCCTCCACAGCAAAAGGGATACGAGCTGGACGGTACGAATTGAGCGCGTGAATGGCTCAAGAGTCGGGGGTCGACTCGCGATAGCTCAGTTGGTAGAGCGGAGAACCGTAGATGGGAAATATTGCTATCTGCAACCAATCCACCCTCCCCCTTCCCTCAACAGGCGACACGCCTCTATCGTGCCAATCACGGAATGCCCTTTTCAGGGCACCATATATATATATATATATATATATATATATATATATATATATATATCGGTATCTATACATCTTTTTTTTTTCCAAACAAAAAATACAAAACACTCTCACACCCATGTATACATACAAGCTCTAAAGGTACTTAACTGTTGAATTTCCATTTTTATGTACAGACACAGATGTGTCTGTAGGCCTACATATTGCCATCACCTGCGTCTGTCGTCGCCGTCGCCGTGCACTTTCAGCGTTAACACCATAAGTGGAAGACAGTTTTACTTTTTGGCTTTATATTTACAGAGCTGACGAATATTCATAAAACGCAGCTCAAGTTCGAAAATCAGCATATGCTGTTTTTTCACTTTTCAGCATATATGAAACACTGTTAACACATTTCAAGGAAAACCGATAGGCCTGTTGTCATGAAACTCACAGGAGTAATCAGTCTTACTAAAACGCAGGTCAAGTTCGAAAATCAGCATAATCGAGCCATTTTTTTATAAGTTATGCTGTTTTTTCACATTTCCTCAGATTCAATTCTAAGGCATGTTAACAGTCTCATTATTGAACTAATAAGATACGTAAAAGTGTTTGTTTGACATTTCCTGCATCTTTACAACATTGTTAGTTGATTATGTAAAAATGATGGTAAACTTGTTATCGTGTATTGTATAATAGAGTTTCAAAAATGGAAATAAACTCATATCATTGCAGTTTGTCATTCACTATGTTCAGAAACTCAGAATGGAGGAAATTGGACACTGTTCTATTGATATTTTTCCCATCTCATCAATTTTCTTAGTTGAAAAATGGCGGTAAACTGTTAATTTTGTTATATGTTAAAAAAATTGTTAAAAATGGAAAAAAAACACGTTTCAGGACAGTGCTGTCTTGTTTACATTTTGGCATTTTCAAGGTGTGACTTTGAAGTTCCACGGGCCTGAAGACCTTTGCTAGTCACATTTTTCTGAATATCCATGATACTAATATTTTATTATTAAACATTAATGGTCATTATGCTGTTAAACATTATGTAATGTTGCATCAAAATTTGAAGAAACCCCTATTTTAGGCACTGCTCCCGTGATGACCATTTAAGGAAAACCATGTCACTTACTGTTCTCAAACTTACAGGAAAGAAAAATGGGACTTAAATAAAGCTTCAGTGGGCAATGTAGTCTTTTTGGTAAATTTTTCTGGCAGTTAAACAGTTTTTTGTGAAAATTTAATTTTTCACATATTGGCATTTTCAAGATGTGACTTAGAACCTCCACGGGCTTGAAGACCCATGCTAGTCACATTTTCTGAAAATCCATGATACGTATATTTTTTTTATAAAAAACTAATGGTTTTATGCTGTTAAGCATTATGTAATATTGCATCAAAATAGAAGAAAACACAATTTTGGGTGCTGCTGCCATGATGACCATCATGGGAAAACCATGTTACTTATGATTGTCAAACTTTCAAAAAAGAAATACAGGACTAAATGCAGATCAAGTTGGAAAAGCAGTCTAATTGGCTTCTTTTTCTGGAAGTTATACATTTTAGTGAAATATTCATTTTTATCATGTTGGCATATTCATTGTGGGACTCGAAGCTCCCATGGACATGAAGCCAAATGATAATCAAATTTTCTTAATGTCCATGCTATTTATAGTCAATAATCAAAAATTGGTGATAATTATTCCGTAATTTATTATGTAATGTTACATCAAAATTGATAAAAATCTTTTTGCGCTGCTACTACAAACATTATGAAAAGAAAACTGTGTTACTTATTATTATTTTCAACTTACAAGTATGATTTTTAGGATTGGCATGCAGTTCAAAATTAGAAAGCCAGCTCAATTGGGTTATCATTTATTATTGAATTTCTGCAGTTTTGTGTGAAATTTTCATTTTTCTCATTCTGGCATTTTCAAAGTGTGAACTTGAACTCCCATGGGCCTGAAGTCTTATGCTTGTTACACATTTTACTTACATTGGTATTACCTGTTGAGCATAATTAAAATTTGATGTTGAATTCGCAGTTAAGCATAATGTACAATTGCATCAGATTTGACAGTAGCCTATTTTGTGCATTGTTATTGTCTGCTTTTTGTCTGTACATTTGACAACTTTGCTGCCTTGTTTAATAAAACCATCATTATCCATATTTTTGCTATAAGTAAAATAGTCACTTTCCATATATTGATTAATATAACTTTTTACTTTCAAGAAATCTGGGGCACTTTTTGTCATTTTCTGGCAATATATAAATTTTTTAACCAAACAAATAATTAAATTTAGCAAACTTTGTTCTTTTCCAAATATAATGTCAATACAGTTTAAACTTTCTTTTATATTTAAACCATTCTCTTACTCGTTCCCAGATTTCTGAAATTCTACTGCATTCCCAAAACAAATGAACAAAAGTTTCCTCCTCTTTTATACAAAATACACATATAATTGATTCTACTACATTTATCCGAAATAAAAAAGACTTTGTTCCTAAGATTCTATGGACCAGTCGATGTTGAAACCATCTAAGGCTCATATCATCCAAATTCGTAATCGTGTTATTCTTTTCCATCCACCATTTTTCATCGTGGTACACATTCAACTCACTTTCCCATTTTATTTCACTTTTCGGTCTAAAATACAAGCTAGTAACAAAGGTATCGTATATAGATCTTACTCCCTTTTGATTTCTCATCAGAACCTCTAGAAATTTTGGTCTAAATGGAATATTCATACAGATATCAATGTTTTTCTTATTTTTAATCATTTTCTCGATACACTGTA